ATCGCTATCATTTCACTAGTAATTGGTTCTAAAGGAATTATTTTAGTTATAATCAACTTGGTACTAATGTATGAGTGCGTAGAACCAGGATCAACTATAACAAAAATAGGCTCATCAAAAAGGTGAAATGTACATGTTATGATCTCCGGATCATCCCAATCATCATTGGTCTTTATATTATATACTCCAGCTACTTCCCGAGTATCTTTTCTTTGGCTAGCCTCAGATTGGCCGCCTGATCTTCCTCTCCCTCTACTTCTATTAGGTGTTGCTACCGATCTCTCAGATTGTAATGATCTATCCCCATAGTTCTTTGGGCAATTCTGAGCAAAGTGACCAGATTCACCACAATGGAAACAAGCATCGGGAAGCAACCTACAAACTCCCCCGTGTGACTTGTCGCACGTCTGACATAGAGGTTTATCTCCATGATCTCTACCCGAGCTAGAAGCATAGGAATGAGACTGCTTAACTTTCTGTGAAGCTACAAAATGATCAGTTCTATCAGTGAATCGAGAACCTGAGCCTTTTCCCCCTTTTTGCATAATGTATAGATGAAGACGTTCTGATTCTTTTTCCCGTATGCATACTCTGCTCCGCACCTAGAGTCTCCTCCTGAGCTCTTTTAATCGCCTTCGCTCTATTTATCACTTTTTGCAGACTAGACAAATTTAATGCCAACATCATCTCTTTTAGAATAGGCTTCAGACCCTCAATGAACCAATCTCAATGAGCTTTATCTTTAGAAACAACTTCTGTAGCATAACAGGTGAGCTTATTATATTCGGGTTCATATTCATGCACCGCTTGATCCCCTTGTTTCAAGCTAAGAAATTTTAATAACATTGATCTCATGAACTGCTCCCCGATATACTTGTTCTTGATCTCCTTTTGGAAGAACTGTCAGTTCACTTGTTCGGGCGACGCATACATCGTCGTATTTGTCCTCCATACCTGAGCCAAATCTCGGAGCAATGATTCAACCCCGCCCAACTTTTCATGATATGAACACTGTAAACTTTCCAACATTACCTTAACGCCATTCAAATATAAATCCACGCCCATTAGACCTTCACTTTTTTCTCCCCTAAACTCTAGAGCTCCGAAACTTCTTAACTCCTTTGGAATTAGCATTCGTGGTACTGGAGGAGCAGGGGGAGGTGGAGGAGATTGAAAACATGTCAGGATAGCATCTAGAGCTTGCATAAAAGCTCTGAACTCTGGAACAGGCATACCCTAAGGTGACATGCACTGCATTGTCAAACGGAATCAGATGTTCGCTATTCTCTTGAATTCGTAGAATCCGACATTTATCATAACATTCATAAAAATCATAATTAAGTTAGTAAGGAGAAACATATTTCATATTCATTCTATACCATATCAGTAACCTTGACATCTTAGTGGCATGTAAACTATTTGTATATCAAACTAAACTCATTTTCTACCAATAATCGACTAAATCTGTAGCTCTGATACCAATAAATGTAACACCCTTCTCCCGTATACCCTTCCGTATACAAGATACAAATGTCACATTACTTTTAAAATAGTTTCCCATTTGAAAATTCGTATAATTTTGTTTCATTGTATAAACCATTATAATTTGCTTATAATTAAAACATGCATTAAACTTACATATATAATAAAAAGAGATGTTTCATATTTCACCGTTTTACAGTAGTTTAATTCAAAAGCTTTTCAAAGTGTTTTTACTAAACTTATTACATGTCAACTAAAATATATCAAAAGCAAGTATGTCACGCTGTTACTAATGAGGCAACTCTGACTTGATGTCTGATGATCTCCTTACTCAGCTGGTATTCCACTTACGAGTGAAATAAACACACGTTAAGTATTACCTAGTGAGGCATACTTAATCATAAGTAAAATTCTAAACACAAGTTATTTTATTACACTTCACATTTCAAGGGATCTTTCAATTCAATAAGTATTCTATAATTTACATCGCTAGTACTAATATAATCATTTATCAACCATTACTAAACTTTGTATGGTTTATATATCCATTTCCAATATAACAATCCACTTCCTTATTATGAATTTCTTATATTTATATACATATATTTCCCATACGGAACTTCATACACTTAGTATAAATTTCTTAACATTTTAGCACATAAAGTGCCCAATACGGAAATTCATACACTTAGTATGAATTTCTTAACATTTTAGCACACGAAGTGCCCAATACAAAAATTTATACACTTAATATGAATTTTTTAACATTTTAGCACTCGAAGTGCCCAATACGAAAAATCATACACTTAGTATATATTTCTTAACATTTTAGCATACAAAGTGCCTAATACGAAAATTCATACACTTAGTATGAATTTCTTAACATTTTAGCACACTTAATGCCATTTGGTAATCACCATACATACATCAATAATTACCACAACTATAACTATTATAGCATATATGTACATAATTAAATGCACTCACCTGACTTTCCTCGCTATGTTTCCAAAATGTAGGGCTGATTATTCCGGTACTTTGCCTTTGCCCTTAGTTTTTCTTATCTGGAGTGCTTTGTTTCGATCTACTCAAACATCCAATAAAACATGTACCATACCCAATGTTAGTATATTTTCTAACCATTATACTTAAACAATACTCAAAAGGACATATCATTAACTTTTTATAACAATATCAACTTATCTTAAAATTTCTGGCTTTTCAGTATCGATACCCCTACCATGGTATCGATACTACTATATTATGGTACCGATACCCCCTTCCGGTATCGATACCAATTTTAGATTCGATGTTACCTGGTATCGATACCCTTACTATGGTATCGATACCCTCTTTATATTATCGATACCATTTTTTCATTTTGTTTCAAAATGGTATCGATACCTTCCCTTCGGTATCGATACTTCCCCTCCGATATCGATACTGATTGAATCAGTATCGATACTACTTAATTAATTCATCTCATTTTAGCCTATAGTATCGGTATAGTTCTATCAGTACTGATACTCATGCCTAGATTTTCCAGTTTTCTACTCGATATATTCCCAAATTTGGCAAATTTTCCTCTCATTTACCCCCAACAATACTATGTAACTATTCTTTACTTAACCATACTAACTTTCCTTCATTTAGATACTTGAAACATCTAGTATCCCTCAAAAGCATTTGATTCCAAGAATCACACCAAAATTTCTAACTTGTTTTTACGTTCATTCCATGCTTCTAATCTATCATTTACCTCTTTGACAATTCAATTTTATCAATAAACCTCAATAAACACTCATAAATTAACATATCATTATAAAACTCATTTTCTAAAATCTCTTATATTTCCCTTATCTCATTGTTTTAATCTCATCTAAACCTTCCTTAAGCTTCCATCATATACAAAGCTTCAATAACCAACCAAAAAAAAAGGAATAAACTAGTAAATTAAAAACTCACCTTTGAGCTATTGAGGAGCTTGGTTACGAGGGAAAGAGGAAGAAAAGAGAGAATATTTTTTGTAACCTAATTCCCTTTTCCCCTTTTATTTAATAAAAAAATGCATTTTACTTCTTCTTTCATTTAAATGACTAAAATACCCTCTTAATAATCCATTGTAACAATTTAGTATCAATCATTCATCCTAATCATTCTCATCTTTTATCATTAATCGAATAAATCCTCCTAACTTTAAATCCTTTCAATAAGGTCCTTAATTTAATATTTGGGGCATTACACAAATGGCACGACACATGGCACCAGTGACACGTGACATCATTCGATTGGAGGATTAAATTTATTTTAATTTATTAAAAGTATGACTAAATTGAGAGAATATGTAAATAATAAGGACCAAATGTGAGATTATACAAAAATATCACATCACTTACTTTGTTAACTGTTAACGACAGTTACCCCGTGGTGATCACGTCTTAAATAAATAAATAAATAAGTTATCATATCTTAATTAAATAAAAACGAAGATGATCATATCTTATGTATTTTGAAATCACCGAAAATGAAAAAAACACAAATATAAATGAGCATCCGTGTAATTAACCTAAAACTTCAATATTTGATCATCCGTATAATTAACTTAAAACTTCAACATTTTGACCTATGTCAATATTTAATCCTAACTCTGTTCCTTTCATATCATAGTTTTATCATTGTCTACGTTTATCCCTTTATATTTTTTATATAAATATGGACTAACACTTTAAATTTTAAATAAAACTAGAACCAAAATTCTATCATTGAAAACGGCCTGTCAGCCCCTAGCTCCGTCCCTTAATGTCAGAGTCTCGAGATTTACACATTAAGACTTTGTGTTTACTTTCACGAGGCTCTGATCCATTCCTTCAACAATCAGATATTACCCTCAATATTATGACATATAAATATGGCTCTTAATCGCCAATTTGTATCAAAAGCACCCCCGCCAGCTATGTATAGGAGGGACGATTGAGAATAATGTCTCTAAAAATTTTAAATTTGGATATATTTTTATTTTTTATATTTTATTATTAATAATACGTTTTCGTTACTTAAAATTTTACCAATTCATTCTTTTAATATAAAATTATGTGTCTTACTCAACTTTCAAAGTTTGATTTTTTTTATTGGAAGGATTGTACAGGTCTACATATTATTTCAAGCAAACCCCACTGACATGCATATACACATTATGCGCATGACATATAACAATTCCTTTAATTATTTCTACTTTATCCACGTTGTCTTGAATTAGCTTCTTGTGATAATGACTTCCCTTGTTCTACTTCTACCGACATTAAGAACTTCAATTCAATTTCTTCTGCTTTGTTTTTTGAACTTTCTGATGATTCATCTCAATTATAAAGAGGAAATGATTGTACTCGTGGAAAATAGAATGGACCGATGGACATGCAAAATCCCACAAATTATCACATCATAATGTGATACAAATGGACGAATTCAAACAAACAGAATGCAGTACAGAACTACAGATATCTGTCTCATAAGACAAAGAGTGACGAAATGGTTAACTAATTAAAACTAGCAAAGGGATAAGAGAGTTTAAACTAATAGTAGTTGATTAGCAAAGATTCGAATGAGATTAAAGAGTTAGGTTTTCCAAGTTCAAGAACACAGGATGTTACCTAAAAGTAAAACTACATGCATGCTTAAATATTACTACGTAGAACTACTAAACCCTAATAGCATCAGCTTCCATAGCTAAGCTCAGTGGAAGCAGAAAAACCCATCTTTCATGAGAACACCCTCGCCCTCCTACAGGAAAAATAAATCTGATCAGATAAGTAATAATGTAGTAGTAAATCAGAGATAAAGGGGTGCAAAAGTAACCTGCTGGCTCACGTTAGCCTTCTTGGCAGGCTGATCAGGCATGAGGCCAAAGTGAATATGTGGGAAGTGAGCCCACTGACAAAAAGAAAACAAAATAGGATCAGCCAAAGGATCCTATCAAAACACTGTGTGTAGGAATAGAGATGAATAATTTAAATGAAACCCTAATTACTTTGTTTTTTCTTCTGTTACATACATAAGAAACTCTATCTTAATTTGGTAATGGAAGCCAAAGAAATCTTACGTTCTTCGCAGCTGCACTGAAGGCCTCTCTGTGAGTTATATCAGGGTTTCCTGCCTTGATGCGTTGGATCTCCTCCCTGTGTGCATCACAGATTCATTTCCATTTACATAATCAAATTCACATTTCAAGAGAATGGATTATATTGATTGCTTACTTGATGAATCGGTTGTACGCAGAGGGGACTCTCTGTCGTTTCTCCGGAGCTAAAGATAGACAAACACCCACATTAGAAGTTCAGTATACTAACGTGTACTGGACTGTCATTTCACCTTCATTATGTAAATTTCACTGTTCAAAATTTTCCTTAAGTTTATGCTATGCCTATTTACATTTCCGGGGTGGAAGAAAATTCTTTACATTTACTGATTCCCTTAAAGGAAGGGCACCCAAACTGTCAAGGTGACGTTTTCTTAACTTGTAAACTAGGGCAGGCGTTTGATATTACCAATTATAACATGGGATCAAGGTTTCAAAGCTGAAAAGAAACTGATTAGCTTCCAGGCTATGATGTCATGATCTTGGTTTTCTGGGTCATGGTAATGATATAGGGGAATGTGGGCAAGTTTTGCAACTATTAAAGAAATATTATTTCATGAACTGTCAAGTTATAGTGAAAGGCAAGAACAGTTCTTATTTTCTTGTCTAAATCAGGGCGTCTGATTTTAAAACAGAAGGCTAAAATAGCAGGCAATGAAAGTGTTTTTAACATATTGTTGATGAAAGACTTCATTTCCTTCTTTTGCAAGAATCTTGGATCTTTGAGGCGCCGCCCCCGGGGGGGGGGGGAACAGAGGGTTTTACAAAAAGAGTTTTAATAGTTCCATACGAACAGCAATGAGTCTTCAAAAAAAAGGAAAAAAAAACTCACGTCTGTTTATAAATGGAGGCCTTGGAAGCTCATCAGCAGCAACTCCACGAGTGTGTAAGGCGATGTCACTCGTATTAGCTTGATTGAGCATCAAATTTGGACAAGTATTTGAGATCTCTTCCTGAAAAACAATGAAAGGCATCAAATCAACTATGAAAGCACCAGTAAAAAATACAGGCTTACAGCTAGAAGAAACCAATAACTTTCTGCTTAATCTTCTAATATCTTAAATCGCCATACCAGAAGATTTTGTGAAGGAGTGTATAAACTGTGAGCCAAATGAAATTGATTGGTGGATGGTAAAAGTAGACCACGCAAGTTCACTGGCAAAAGATTGGTGCAGTGACCACATCGAACCGTTACAGTCTTGAACAAACTTGTGCAAGGAACACTAACCTATATATATAGCACAAAAACAAAGAATCCCCCATGATTATAAAGGAGACATATATAGCAAAGACCTAATTAGAAAGTGAAAAAGGAAACCCTAAGTAAGAGTGAGACCTAATTGGTAAAACAAAAGGCTAAACCATGGAGAGTGAAAGTGAAGGAAAGTGGTGGGGAGAAGCAAGGAGGGGAAACAAAGTGTAAAGAATACCGCAAGGACAGTGTCGCAGATGTTGCAATGGACATAACAGAGCTGCTCGGAGGGAGGAAGGTGGTCCGAAGACAAGGTGGAAGATGATGACATCTTCTTTGATTCCCCCCTTTGCTTTCTCTTTTAAAATTGTTTGATCAATGTTATCTCTCTTCGGTGGGATTGATTGATTGATAGAATGACAGCTTAACAACCACCTTGGATCTGCTTTTCTTTGATTAGGAGTTGTTAGAGAAAAGAGAGTGAGAAGATGGATGGATGGACCTTCCTTGGTATGCTAGATATAAAGACGGCAAAAAAGAGAGTATGTGGCTGGAGGAAAAAAACGAACAAAGAAATATAGAAATCCCTTCTTTGTAGCAAACATACATGCATGCATGTATGTATTAATTGTATGTATGTCTCCGTGAATTGATATATCGATATATACATGCATATATACACATATCTTGGGTCTATGATATGTGTGGTTACATTCCCAAGACAAGGTTTGTGTTTAACCAAGAGTGAGAAAGGGGTAAGGCGGTTTATGTGGGGGAGAGTAGCAAGAAAGGGACGTGTGCATGGGGTTACATAGCTTTCACTTACTCACCTGTTGTTTTCAGTAGTTTAGAGCCTGTATTTGAATATTGATAATATATGTGTGTGTATATATTGCCTCAAATTCCGAACCCCAACAAACCCTAACTCAGCTATCGACCTCCCGTATAATAAGCCACACCCCTCAGCTCCTAAGGGCTTCCTTATACTCCCATTTTTATGAGCTGCATTTATCAGTTCATACATTTAGCATAACATGTATCATCGTCGATTCATCATGGCACAATCATCGAACTCAATGCTTTTATATATATAATAAAAACAAAGAAAGAAAAGACTTATATAATATATCACAATTTAACTTCTTTATATATATATATATATATATATATATATATATATATAGGGTCGAAAGGTTACTTTTGCTGAAATGACCACTCAATCTCTCTCGTTTTACACGCAGAAAGAAGCGTATTTAAGTCAGTTAAAACCCATTTGGCAGCGTACACAGACTTTGCTCCCTCCCCTTCTTTCAGCCTTTGTCCTTTCCTAAATTCATTTTGGCTTATGCTTGCTAATTTGGTTACAATCTTTTCGTGCTTTTGTCTGGGGTTTTTTGTTATCTTTTCTACTCATCCTAACTTTGCTTATTTGATAACATTATTTAATTGTTAATTTAAAAAGCTATTTGCATTTAATTCATTATTTTTATGAAATTCAAGAAAAGTAATTCATCAAGCATATATATATACACACATAAAATATTATTAGGCTCTTTATTATTACACTATAAAAGTTAAAAAGATGTCACTAATAAAATTTGAATCTTAACTTTTGAAATGCCAGTTAATAACTTGTTATTTTACAAATCAGTCAAGTGTTTCAATTATAGATAATATATCCTAAAGGTCATTAAATTATATAAGAATAATATTAAATAATTATTAAATTTTATAAAAGATTATAAGATAATTTTCTAGTGATGAGATATGTTGATGGTTGGACAGTTTCCCCACTTTCAATTTTTTATTAATCGACACTCTATCAAATAATAGTTTTAATTGACATTATACCAAATAATGTTTTATATAAAAAAATTAAAATAAATATATAAATATTGAATTAGAGATTAATAAATGTAAATATAAATTCTTTATCACTCAATCTGTGATTATTTATCAAATAATCTTTTTTATATACATAATTTTTTTATATAAATTATTTTAACTCATTTTATATAGAGGTGTTAAATGGGTCATCCAAATCGGGTTTGGTTCGGGTTATTTTGGTTTAGAGTTAATTTGGGTCAGGTTTGGGTCGGATCGGGTCATTTAGAGTTTTGATTTTATTAGGGTATATAGGAAGTCAGGTCGGCTAATTTCGGGTTTCGGTTTTATTTGAGTCTATAGTAAGTCAGGTCGGTTAGGGTATCGGGTCGGTTCAAATCGGATCGGTTGATTTTCGGGTCAGGTCAATTCAGGTTGAGTTGGGTATAAGTCAAATCAAATATATATATATTGATATATTTTTGTAAAAAAAGATTGGGTTTGGGTAAATTAAATTCAGGCCTATTTCGAGTTCGGGTTAAATTTGTAATATCTGATTTTATGAGTGTGAAAAAACTAATTAAAATTTAAATATTGTAATTTTAATTTAAAGTTAAGACATTTTCAACCGATAACAAAGTATTTTAACATATTTTTCTTAAACATTGGAGGCACTAATTTTAAAATAAGAGACGTGTAGGTGAATAAGTTTTTTTTATATATATTTATATGGAAATATCCGGTTACTAAAACTCTTTTTAGTTTTATATAAATTTAAGATTGTTGGATGAGTGAAAACAGATAGATTAAAATTAAAAGTAGGAAATGTGAATATTATCACTTAAGAAAAAAAGCAAGGATTATATGTATATATATTATATATTATTTTAGTTTTACGCATTAAAAAATTATCACAAGTAATAGCTTGTGTGAAAATCATAACAACAAATGAAAATGACGAAAATGATAATTATATAATTACATGTGTAAACATCATAATCGTCATCCTATATTATTAAATGTAATTCGAGTCATAGTTGTTATCAATTATTATATGGGTTGGGTCTGTTTATGAAATTCATGATAACTGATGATATTGATAACTATTTTTATAAAATAAATGATGAGTGTTATTATTCTCACAATTAAATTAAATTAAATTTTTAGTACGAACTAACTTATTTGAGTGGTTAAAAGAATCATGTTGTTTCTAGTGATCACGAGTTCGAGCACTAACGAGTGCAGAAGGGTCATTGATTTGAGAGTATAGAGAGTATAGTTGAAAGTTGTTATTAACTTTAATTCAACGAGGCTTATAAATTATAATTAAGGAGTAAATATAATTAAATTATAATTACATTTAATTATTGAATGATTTTTTCAAACACATGTTACATCTTTAAACTTTTAAAATGAGACTAAAAGATTATGATATATCTCATTTTCTTTTAAATGTTTTAGGATTTAACTTTTCATGGACCTTACACTAAATCAATGATTTGGAAAAGCTTATTCTATTTATCAAGTGAGATGAAAAAGTGGTAGTGAATTTTTTTAACATGCTTTGGAATGATTATTATTAAAATATTTTACCTAAATACTAACCACAGTTGAGTAAGATTTACTTCAAACATCTTTTTTCCCCCTTGCTTGAATGTTTCCCAGTAAGGTTGGGACAACATTGAGGCGCATGCCTTGTGACAAATAGCACCACTTCCCTTTGCTGGAAAAGCAATGCAAATACACTGATATCCAGTTCTAAAAGGCTACACAAAATGCGTACGACAAAGAAAGAGACTACAAATCTGACCAGACTGACGCTACATGTTTCTTTACACAGTCTGACAATGCTATTTTGAAAATCTCTGCTTCGTTTCCAGGCTCTCAAGTTAAAATTAATAATCCGACTTAATTTTCTTGTTTGAATTAGTTATATAGGTATTATCGGTCCTTTATTAGCAGATTCAAAAGGGATCGGAAGACTAGTGTGAGGGGTGGTATAGATAAAGCCCTAGGCCTGGGGGCTTCAACGATCTCCAGTCGGGGAAACCAAATCTTGTATGTAAATGAATCAGTTTTGTAGAGATAGGTGAACAGACTAGTCTAGATCCACAGAGTCTGACGCAACATTCACAACTCTTCATCTGCTTAATCAACGCCAAGCTCCAGCTCTTAGTCCTCTACATCCGCCTACTTATCCAAAAACCTATAACCAGGCAGCTCAAGCTGTTTAATGTTGGTGAAGACTGTTGACGACCCGATGGATCTGTTGGTGGTACTGTCAAATTACACCATGATCCTTGCATCCCGCTCTCTCTACTTCTTCACTATGTTTGGAAAAGGATTCAAGATAGATGCAAATTTACAAATTGTTGGTCATGAGAAGCATAAGATAAATTGCTTTGTTCTTGTGGAAGCAAGGAAAGATGAGGTTGGAAGCAGCAACTTCAACTTTTCCTCTACTGTTTCTAGTGAAACCGAGACTCAAACTAGTATGGATTCATTGGCTAATGTTTGTAGAATGCATCCTTCCTTCATTGGAGTATGGACATTTAAGTTTGTCTGGTAAGGCAACCTTATATGTTCGGTTGCTTAAAGAAATGCTATTTTCAACCAATCAAGATCTGTTGTTTTAACCTTTTTTTTACAACAGTTTCCCCCTAATTATCATTCTTAGGAGGCGTTTGGTTCGCTAGAATATTAATGAGAGAATTGAAATCTGTGAAGGAATTGAAATATGTCAGGAATTATAATCTAATTACATATTCTGTTTGATTCACAGACATGTCATATGAATTTGATTTCAGTAATGTAAAATGATATAATTGCTCTTCTTATTTTTTTACTTTATTTTAGTTTATTTTACAACTTACATATAGTAATATATTATAAAAAATTAAAAAAATTTAAATTTTCATTTTATTGATTGATTATTCATTTCAATAAATTATAAAAATCATGCTAATAAACATCATAATTAAGTTAAAATCATCGCAATCAAAATATGTTAATAAGTTACCAAAAGATAGAATAATATTTCGATACATTCCAATCGGAGTATGTTAATTAGTTACCAAAAACTATACCAAAAATTATTTTTATTCAATATATGAATTAGAAACCCCGACCCGACACGACACAAAATAATAAAAAAATTATTTTTATTCAATAAAAACATTGACTTAATTGAAAAAATTATATATAGAGGGGTATTATTGTAATTATTCCTAAATATATAAGGCAAAATTATATATTTTTTTCGGGTCGGTCCGGTTTTTTTACCCTAAACCCGACCCGAAAAAAATAAAGTTTCACCCGACCCGACTCAAATATATGAATTAGAAATCTGACCCGACCCAAAATAATAAAAAATTATTTTTATTCAATATAAACAGTGACTTAATTGAAAAAATATATATATAGAGGGGTATTATTGTAATTATTCCTAAATATAAGGTAAAATTATATATATTTTCGAGTAGGGTATTTTTCACCCTAAACCCAGACTCGACCCGACCCGAATATCACACTTTAAAAAACCGACCCGACCCAAAATAAAGTTTCACCCGAC